TCTGAGATACGAAGATGAACTATTAGGTTATTTTCATTAAGAGTATTTTTTTTTACAAGATCCAGAATTATAAAAAGCAAAATATTAGTGATTGGTCTATAGCCTACTTTTCCAACATACTGTAATATCTCTTCTTCAATGTTCTTATCAATAATATGAGATATTTCATTTGTTGTAAGAGAACTTTTTTTAAGATCTAAAACAAAAATTGGTATATTTTTACACATTTCCTCATTTATATTTTTTTTAACATTTGCAACATTATATTCTTGTGGTAACCCAGCCTTGAGTGCAGTCAGATCTCTATAAGCATCACGAAAAATTAAGCTTTTGTTAATAATATTTACAAATGCATTAATATTTTGCTCTTTTCATTATATATGGCAGAATAGTTTTTGCTTTGAAGATTAAACAGAATTTTCATCTTTCAAATATTTCTTCATCAGATTTTGTCTTGGCAGATTTTAGAAATTAAATGAATGCATGATATTCATTCTTTTGAATAAATAGCATTTTATTCTTTTCAATTCCAAATTCACCTCAACAATAATACTAGCTTAAAATATTCTGCTATAGTTTTTCATCTCAGCAGATTGTTAAAAGTACTTTTTTTAGATTTGAAAATAGATAATAGCTTGCGTTCATCCTTTTGAACTTCTATTACACTATCTTATAAAATAACAAAAGTAAACTATAAGAATTACACTTTTTTTGAAGCGTATAATAATAAGCAAACAATATATCATACCATTCGCAATGTTTTGTTGTTGAAATCATTTTGCATTTTATAAATAAACCTAATTTTGCAGTGATTGAATATTGTCTTAGAATAATCATATTGAAGGGTAAGAACTATGTTTTGCATTGACACACACTTCAAATTTAAATAAAAGTGCCAAGTCAAAAAGGATTCGTTGATCTGGATTTTTCTTTATTCAAACTGTTGAAATAACAATAGCAAGTTATTTGAAACATAACAATACCTACTATATGCCACTGCTTACAGCATCCCTTAATTCTCTAAAAGTAATAT